GAGCGATAGATGGAGAAAGATTGGAGGGGGTAAGGATGTTGACAATCGTTGGTCGAAAGAAGCAAGGACAAACAACCAACCGACTATGGAAGGGAAGGGAAGAGAGGGGGAAACAGGACGATTAGCAATCGGTGGAATAGGAAGGGGGGATGGTCGGTGGGTTGAAACTAGTCTGTGCACTGACTTGTCGTCACAAGTGGGTATGTTTTGATCGCCGGGTAAGGAGAAAGGAGAGAGAGAGAGAGAGAGAGAGAGAGAGAGAGAGAGAGAGAGAGAGAGAGAGAGAGAGAGAGAGAGAGAGGGAGGGAGAGAGCAAGGGATAAAGAGAACGAGCTTGATCTGGTTTTTCGTGGTAGCTTGAAACGAGGGATGCCATCCAAAGCTATAATACTTTTTTGCAAGCCGCCTAACGTGTGTGTTTCAGGATCCCGAATAATTGAAGACAATGAAAAAAAGAGCTAGCAAAAAAAAAGAGATAAAGAGAGAGAGTGAGAGAGAGCGAGTGAGAGAGCTAGAGAGCGAGAAATACAGAAAGCTTATTAAACCTAGAAAGTATCTTCTTGGGGCTTTAAAGGGGCTTTGATACCAAGGATCCACTGCTTACGCTAACAAACCCCCAAACCTAATTTAAATGGTTTCACTGGCAGCAAAAATTTGGGTCAGGATTTGCAAAAATCGTGCGTGACTGGATCACTTAATGCCTAATAGGAAAGGAAACTCGAATGCCAGCCTGATATGACTGAAATGAACCGAATTCGTCGGCCCCCACCCAGATTTTAAAGCTGTAATAGACCCGCCCCTTTGGATCGCGGTTTTGTTTTGTCTACGGTTTCGCAGGGGAATGGGGCATTGGGGCTCAAGATCAGGGCGCTAGATAGAGATGGCTGGTCAGGACATTGGGCTATCTGATGACATGGAGAAGCTAAACAAATCGGCGGTTGCTTTTGCACTTTATATGGAAACATTCCGCAGATTTTGCAGGGAATTTCGTGCCAAAAGCTAGCAGGTGCCTCCGCATGAAGTTTCCGGGCCGATACTACAGGGTGTCCCAAAAAAAAAGACCCCCCCCAAAAATTTGAGCCAGAGGGGACCTACGGAGCTGAAAATTTGCACAGAGGTGGCGAAGCCAATTTTCTATGAACAAGGAAAGTTTCAGCCCGATCGACCAGCGGGTTTTAAAGTCATAGCGAAAATACTTTTGATTTTAATTTTAATATGGGGATTGCTGCAATTTGCATAAAAAATATGCGTTATTTTGCCATTTACGAGCCGATTTTGCATAAATTTCGCCGAAAAACGCCATTTGCTTCTTTGGGCTGTAGAAAAACGATTGCTCGTGGAGAGAAAAAATGGTTCGCAAAACCGCGGAACACAGGACGCATTGACTGAAACTATCGTTTGACGCTAGCACCCAGCTTAGACTTCGTCGTAAGCGTCAACCCAAGTCGAAAACTGAACCTAAGCAGTACTTAGGGGCTCATCAAACTCTGTTTCGGGACCGACGGGGTCATATTGGCAAAATGTCCCATAAAATATGATTTGGAACCTAGAAGCAATCGTTTTCACACTCTTTTTGCTCTTCTGACTCGATCGTTCTCACCGAGATCCAGTGAGCAAATGGCGTTTTTCGGCGAAATTTATGCAAAATCGGCTCGTAAATGCCAAATAACGCATATTTTTGATGCAAATTGCAGCAATCCCCATATTAAAATAAAAATCAAAAGTATTTTCGCTATAACTTTAAAACCCGCTGGTCGATCGGGCTGAAACTTTCCTTGTTCATAGAAAATTGGCTTTGCTACCTCTGTGCAAGTTTTCAGCTCCGTAGGTCCCCTCTGGCTCAAATTTTTGGGGGGGTCTTTTTTTTGGGACACCCTGTATACTTACGGTTACACTGGAAATATTAAAAATTGGAATTCTCGCGAAGTCCGCTAGAGAAAATGAGCAGAACCAGGCTTCCAAATGCATGAAAACGCGCAGAAAAAAGAAAACAGTCCGGAAATCGTCGCATGGCTCGGGAAATGCCGCAAAAAGCGGTGACTCATAACCTTTTCCGAGCCTCGCATGCATGTGGCTATCCCTCGATTTTGACGTCACAAAGGACGTGATTTAGGGGCGGTTAAATCAGGGAAATCCCGGAAGAAAAATGGCAAAAAATGCGCACTTGAAATTCGAGCCCAAATCGAAGGAGCAGCACAAAAAAGGGGAATTGGACGACAAATAAGACGTAAAATCCACCCACCATTGCTTGAAGACGTGGAGGCCATTGAGAAATTTGCGTTTCAGCCAGCTGAACAAATCCATCGCATCGGCACGCTCTAAAACAAGGGCTACGAGTTAGCAAAACCGGCCGAAAAAAGCATCTAGGCTAATAAAGTTGTTTGAAAATAAAAATAGATGTATTACAGTACGGAGAGTGAAATCAAAAACGCGCAAACAAAGAAATAACGATTTCTATCAAAATTTAGACTCGTAAGTTTTTCAAAAACAAATTTTGTTGGAATCCATTTCATCGACTTACTCCAAATTATATAAGGTTATCAATACTAGAAAAACCTTTACCATAAAAACAATTACCATAGAATTATCAAAAATCAAAATAAATGCACTACGGTACGAAATTCGACGCAAAAAAGCTAAAATTGACCAAAAATAACGTGGTAAAGCTAACGAAAAGAAAAAATCAATAAAATCGCAGCATTGGAGTGTTTTTTCTGTTTGACTCAAGTGGTGGCTACCCCCATTTTAGGTTGTTTACAGCCTGCCGAGAGATCCGGGAAAGTAGAAACGAAACTTTGGTGTGATGGCTCTAGTTTTATAGCCTGGATTATGGCAGAAATTTTTATAGTTTGTGCATATTTTTTAATAAACAGCTACCGTATTTCAAAGTAAGAGAGAAGTATAAAAAATCATGATAATTATCAAATGGAAAAACGACATGACTCGATTAATAGGGTCAAAGTTTTTATCGAATATTTTATAAATTTCTCACCCCATTTTTATTCGTTATTTGGTTATCTAAATCATTAATTGTTTTAGGCCGTTTAAATTCCACGTAGCTGCTTTGTCAGGTTCAACAAAAACCCTGTAAAAAGCGTGTTCCCCCTTTTTTTAGATTTTCCGGATACCTGCGTAGGAGTTAGAAAGAAATAGCGGTCACGAGAAACTAGAAGACACAAAAACTAAAACCTAGAGATATATACGGGTTATTTTGAAGTCGGAGTCTTCGAAACTGTCAAAAATATGCACTTATTCTGCCCCAAAACCGCCACCACTTCACAAAAACTTCCAAAAAAGCGGAAACGCATTAAAAACGCGGTGCTAGCTAAATAGGCACGTATTGGAGCAGTTCGGTTTGGGTCAGTAGTCGAGGCCAATTATAATGCTCCCCGAATCGCCCGAATTGTTTGTGTGTCGCCTGTGATCGGGCGAGGATCAATATAGAAAGAATTTTCAGGGCGCTGGCGCGCGAGAGAGGGATGGGTCCTCACTTTCCTTTCTCTAGCCTACTCTCTCGCTCTCTTACTCTCAATCTCCCTCGCTCTCGCTCTATAACTCTCGCCCTCTCTAACTCTCACTTTCTATCCATCAGATTGTGTGTATGCCCAGGTACCCCATCCTGTGGAGTGGCCCAGTCATCCAGCCAGGTGGGGCCCACACCCTTCGGATAGAGACAACCAAAAAGTGATGTTCTGATGAGGAGTGGCTTTTCGGTATCTCTCGCTCGCTCTCTCTCTCTCTCTCTATCTCTCTGTCTCACTCTATCTTTTTTCCATCTTTCTCGCTTTTTCTCAGACTGTTTCTATCTCCGCGAAACTCACGTTTTTTCAGCTCCACCTCGCGTGAAGTTCTCGAGGGGCGATTATACACCATTATAGACTGGAATCTGTAACTAGGGTCTTATATATACCAAAGTATAACTTCCGGTAAGCGCCCAGGATTAGGATTTGCATGATGGTATGATATCCGTATGTCGTAGACCTATGATAGATGCAGCCGGAACTGCAAGAACAGTTTGGCTGATATTTGTCACGGAAGAAGAAGAAGAAGAAGAAGAAGAAAGATTCAGGATCGCCAACCTACTAAGTAGAGTTTAACCTCTGGTGAGTAGTCGCTAATTGTGTGAAAAGTGTTATTCATTTGGCGCCAAGAAGCTCTCGATAATCCCGCCCCGCCATCACCGACGTGTCAAATCTTCAGGGAACCTCGACCAGCTGACTGGTGATGAATCAGCGCTGGGAGGTAGCTTATTTGCTTCCGTTCAAGTTCGCCTTAGCAGTGTCAATAATCAAGCCCTTTATTTCAGAAGAAGCTACAAGACATTTGAAGAAACCGTAGCTCATACAATTTATTTCTTTGAGGAAGGTCCAGCGGAACGACCATCATTACTTTCCGCCCAGCTTAAAACTTCGCGTGGTCGTGCCGGTGTATAGAGCATTTCCCGAATAGTAAGTACAGCTGATGGTCCGGCTGCTTCTTCGTCGGGTGCCCCCGGCCTTTTTTTGTTCAGCAGACATTATATAAATTGGCTCCCAACGGCATCGGCTTTCAGGTGGTTCATGATGGTCCACGTGTCAGAACTCGTAGATATGCTGCAAAAAATGGCTGTACATCAAAAATTGTCTTTGTCAAGAATCGGCTGTTTGCTACGATTTTCTGATATTCCAGCGTACAACGTAGAGATCCGGTCACCACCACCCGAAAACGAATCCGGATATTTGCTAAAACACAGTCTGACCGGACCAAGCGCCTTTTTGTTCTGTTGGCCGGGTGAAGAAAGGGGGGCCGTAAAATGGTCGAAGTTTTGTGATAACAAGGCCCCCCGGACGGGGATCGGACCGGGGGACCGGACCCATATTATTCTACACCGGTCTGCCGGTCCGGTAGACGAGATGAGGGCCCAGTTATTTATATTTGTGGCCCTGGCCTATGTGGTTGATGCTGCTAACTACAAAGCATTCGTCTACTCTCCGAAATTTGCCATTTCGCATATGAAATTTATGGGGCGGTTGGCGGATATTTTGGTAGAAGATGAGTTTGATGTGGTGGGTTTATGGAGTTAGTTATAGCAGTAGCTTACGAAAAATTCATAAGCGGAAGTGTTTACAGCTTTAAAGGCGTTTTTAACGTTTATTATTCCCATTTTTAGCTAATATTGTTTTCAAAATTACGGAATTGTTTTAGCGGCTTTTAAAACCTTTTAAGTTTTATCGTCATTTCTTCGAACGTTCGTACATCCCTACGAATTTCAATTATGCCATTTTGTCACGAATTTTCTAGATGTGATATTTTTTAAGGAACCAAAGACCAGGAACTTTTTTCCGATTTTCTCGGTCGCAACCGATCTGAACTCTTGATCTGTAGACCCATCAAACCGCCGCTAACTGTTTCATCGCCAGAGTTGCGGCGGCAGAACGCAGTCAGAAATCTGCTTATCAGTTCAATCAAGCCCATCAAGCGATCAAAGCTATTTGATTTGAAAAAATAACCAGCTGAGCCAAGTGGTCGGGGGTCACCCGGGAAGAGGCGCACTTGATCATTCTTTGCATGGCTTTTGGGCTCTAATCGGAAACAGCAAAGTTACATCACACTAAAAATGGTCAACGAAATTCCTTGAGCACGTGAGCTTGTTTTATCAAAAAGAAAAAACTATTACGAGGATAAGGGCTAACGAAAAATTCGATAAAGTGGTTACAATTCATCCAAAAAACAACTACCATCTCAAAACGTTGACTAAGTGAGTTATTTTTATTCCAGACAGTCCTGCAACCATCGCTGACCATGGATCTCGTCTCGATTAAAGACGTCCAGAAGGCCAAACTCGTCACCGTGCCCCAGGCTCCCGGAGTAAACGAAGGATGGGCCAAGACGTGGTCCCAATTCAGGAATCCTTGGGTCCATGAGCCGCAGTTTGTTGTAGGTTTTGATATCTGTATCAAGCCAATAATGAATCAGATTTTAGTAAATTAACCAAATTCAATTTTTCAGAAATTGCTCGCCTCGGCCGGCCATTTTGCTACCCAGTGCAACTGTAAGTTTCTCGCCCCAAAAAAAAATTTTAATTCATCGTTTTTTGGGGGTTTCACCTAGCCAAAAAGAATCCTATTTAAGCATTGAATATACCTATTGAAAAGAGCTCTTTCTCCTTTAGATACCATCCAGCAAACCGACATCATCGAGCAGCTGAAAGCCGAAAAATTCGATGTTTGCTTGACCGAAATGTTTGATCACTGCGGAATTGGTAAGTAATTTTTCTACGCTAATTGTTACGCAATCAAAAGTGATAAAAACCAGAGAATATCGATTTTTAGTTTTAATGAACCTACTCGGCTGCAAATCCAAAATCATAACTGCTTCTACCGTCTCTATGGAGTCGATCAATCCACATATCGGGGTGCCAAATATCTACTCGTATGTTCCAAGTAAGTTTTCTATATAAGTGACCCTTTCTGTATAACTTTTATACATTTTTTTATGATACTGCTGAAATCGTTCTTGTTTGTAAAACATTATTTTAGTATCCGTGGCCAAGGGAACCGACAAGATGAATCTGAAGACAAAAATTGGCAGCATTATTACGATGTAAGCTTAACCTTAACTTAGCTTCGATGTTAAATTGATTTAATCATACTGAAAGTTTAGAATGTGTTTTTTAAGGCTAGGACTCCGCTATTACTACTATCAATTCCGCAAAGAAATGGACAAAGTGATTGGCTACAACTTTGGCGCCGAGCACCAATTGACGGCTGTAAGAGCCAAAAATTATACTTTGATTTAAGAATTGAATTTAGGATCTGGTTGGGGAGAGTGATCTCCTGTTCGCAAACTCGCATCCGGCACTCGACTTCGCGAAGCCATCCTTGGAGAAAATTATTGATATCGGAGGGATATCGTTACCAACGCCGAAACCTTTGGATCAAGTAAGTATAGCTAAAAACATCCACAGGCAAGTTAAAAGGTATCATGGCGCTAATTTTAGAGTATCAATATAAACAATTGATCAAAAGTGGATTTTTCAGGAATGGAAAGACCTAGTGGCAAAACGGAAAAAGACGGTCTTCGTTTCTTTCGGATCAGTTGCGAGAAGCATTTGGATGCCGGTGGAATGGCGGGACTCAATCCTGGACGCTATGAAGGTATGAATTTGGCGTTTTAGCGATAATAATACTATAGAAAACACAAAAAAAGTATTGATACCTTTAGCAATTCCCCGACGTGACCTTCATCTGGAAGTACGAGAAGCCGGAGGACAATTTCACGGCATCGGCGCCGAATGTAAAACTGACCGCCTGGGGGCCGCAGTTGGATTTGTTGGGTGAGCAAATACGAATTGTATAGATGATTCGAGAAAAAATGGGCAAGCTAGCGGAGGTTTTTTGGGAATAATCGCCCAATCGATGTATAGTAAATCTACCTTTATAGCGTCCGGCAAGATCGATCTCTTCGTGAGCCACGGCGGCCTTGGATCGGTTTATGAGACGTCACTTTCCGGTGTGTCTTCATTTTCTAGCTGGCTTTTAATAGTGAAAAATTCTACCATACCTTTCGACTATCAAGTACCGATTTTTTTTAGGAGTTCCCGCAATTTTCGTGCCCCTCTTCGCCGACCAATTCCGGAACGCCTACATGTGCCAAGCCAAAGGATTCGCCGAGGTGGCGACGAAGGATCGGCTGATTGATACCAAATTTTTGGTGGACATGTTGGGCAAGATGCTGAATGATGACAAGTACGTTGCGCTACATAGCTTACGCCAAAACCCTGAGCTTTTGAAAGTACAACGAGTGCGCAATGGTCCCGAAAAAAAAAGACGGACATTTAGGTACAAAACTAGCGCTATGGAGACAGCAAGAAGAATGAAGTCTCGGCCTTTCAGTTCCCGCGAATTGTTTGTAAAGTAAGTTTATTTAATCGTTAATTATAGGTTTAAATAGGCGCACTTAAAGTAATTTTATGCGTTAAATAGGCTTCACCCTGGACCTAAGAAATTATATGCCATTTTAAAGCTTTTGAGAAGGCGAAAAATCACCTTGTTCGTTTTTAGTATGACGGAAGATCCGCTAGTTAGAATAAAACTGACAATAAAAAAGCTAAAATAATTTAACGTCGTTATACCATCCAGATGGACCAAATTCGCAGCATCTGAAGGCAGACTCGACTTCCTCGACCCGGCCGGCCGCAAAATGGGCTTTTTCGAGTACTTCTCTCTGGATGTGGTCGCCATATTCTTATCCGCGATTACGGTCGTGCTCCTGGTGGTCTACTTGATTGTCAGGATATTTTTGAAGCTCGTACTCCGGATATTCGGGAGGTTGAAGGCGAAAACCGAATAAGCCAAATCTGTAAAGCGCCCATGCACATGTATTTGTATAAAACTTTCACATTTATATGTACCTGAAAACGTCTAAACGATATCATCCAAAAATGAAAAGGCCGGAAAAATTGAAAAATTACGAAAACAGAGCGCTAGAAAGAAAGGAAGAAAGCATGAGAAAGTCAGAGAGAGAGAGAGAGAGAGAGAGAGAGAGAGAGAGAGAGACTGAGAGTGAGTAAGATAGAGAGAGAGAAAGCGAGCGAGAGAGATATAGGCGACAAAAAGGCGCTTTTACATGGTGAGCTCCACCCTACCGAGAGCTCAGCTAACAGCACGCGGTCCGCCAAGCAATTCCGATCAAATACTCATGCTCAGGGATGCTCCCTCCACACTAGAATTCAGAGTACGATCAGCACTACCCTACCTATTTGCATATCATCATCCCGACCCCTATAAATGTCCATCGCGTCCAGAGATTGCAACCAAAAATTGCAGCTCTGAAAAACACATCATGACTGCCGTGCAAATTCACTGTGGGACCCAGACGACCGGGTCAAAGTCTTCGCGCCATTATCGGCGCTTTGTTATCTTATTCGTTAGCTTCTTCTTTCTGGCATTTTTGCATTCTGGGTAAGAAAGAATAATTATGATAACCTTTATGATAAAAAATTTGTAGTGCGAATTGGGTGGTTTATCGGGATCGACCATTTTAAAGGACCTAGGAAGCCCGAAATTTTACCATTATCTTCGACTTGCTGTTCACGCAGCCGACGTAGCTTAAAAGCTAAAAATGAGCTTTCAAACGTCAGTTGGCAGGACCCGTAGTTGTCGACGACCAGTGAAAAAGGTCGCTCGATTCTGGCCCTTAATTACCCCGTTGCAAGGACGCGCAAGGCACGAGTTTTCTTTCTATGAATTTTTCCGCGGGTAATACATGGTACGCACGTATCGCTTGGCTAGTTTCTTTCAAAAAATCTTAAACGCATCGAGCGGCCTGGTTGCGTGTCGCGGGCTCGACTAAAAGCCAGTGAAATCCCGAAAATCCGTAGCAAAGACTCGCAAGGCCCTTTAGAATAACCTTAAAACTAACGGTTAGCGCTGACTACCGTAATCGCAAGGACTACGGAATATAATCTTCGATTTTCAGCTTCATCAGCTACAACTGTGGCATCGTGGCAAAGAGCGATTTATCGACTAGCCCGCTATATGATGAGGACATTTTTCACATCAACCGCTCGATTATTGACGTGAGTTTTTTGCCTTCCGTATCTTTACCGCGTATCCAAAGTATGCCGTATTCGGCATTTTACATGCGTAATTTACCCGATTTTTCAAAAACCTATCACGATGAAATTACGGTATCAATCTTTAGTGGGACGGCTCTCATCTCTCCCTCGAAGACCGTCGCTTTGACTTCACGGCCACCGAGTTGGGCTGGGCGCGGGCCGGTCGGTTTTCCAGAATCATTGTAGCCTCTTTAGTTGGTCCTCCGCGTGTATCGTCTGGAGACGATAGACGGTAGAATAGCCAAACGACGACATGCTGTATGGCCTCTTTTGAATGAAATACTGAAAGGCAATGCTAAAAGGCAGAAGAAGGCCTTGAAAAGCTTTCCTTCTTGCCACGAGGTAAGTGACGTTTGGACACCTTTCAGCTGGCTTCGCGGGCGCAATGTTCGGGGTGCCGTTTCTTGGATGGGCAAGCCCTCGACTCGGGATTCATCTATTAATGTCTGGAATGGGACTGATGGTGGCTGTCGCTTGTTTCATTCATCCGATCGTTGTATCGTGGTCATTTCCGGTCTTTGTGGCGCTGCGCTTTATTATCGTAAGTTCGGCAGAAGAAAGAAAGAGCGTGAGAGAGAGGGCGAGAGCGATAGAGAGAGAGAGAGAGAGAGAGAGAGAGAGAGAGAGAATGAGTGAGAGAGGGGGAGAAGGAGAGAGAGCGAGAAAGATAAAAGGAAATCGGCTTTTTTATCCCAGTTCACCGTATTTCGACGGTCCGTGTCGAGACCCAGTCGACGACAAGGATCAATTTTCCCGCTTCACGACCCCCTTAACCGCAATTGTTATGAAGTTATGACGCTTCAAACGTCCTACACGTAAGAAACGGAAATTTAGGGGACCGTCCTGGCCATCCTATTCACCGCCGCCGGCGACGTCATCACCAAATGGGCCCCGATGGAGGAGCGAGGGATTTGGGTGGCGATTTTGACCGGTAACTCCTACAGTGACATTTTAAATTCCAAATGCAGGACATCGCGAGTTCTCCGCCCTGTTTGCCGCCCCGTTCGGAGGATTTCTGGGATCGTCAGGTATCTTCTGCTTGCGATAAATATAGATAGATCTAAGATACCCATTTAACAAACTCGTATAACTCAAAAATGCTAGAAAAACTCATTTTTAGTCTCCTGGCCGGCCATCTACTACTCGCACGGCGGGTTGGCCCTAATTTTCACCGTTCTATGGATCTTGCTCCATAAGTACGTCAAGTTTAATCTAAAAAAATATACTTAGGGTTTGAAAATTTGCTAATTAACATTTAGAAATGATCCCCGTAAAATAAAGTGGTTGAAGCAAGACGAATTGGATCAGATTTTGGATGGAAAGGAGGAGATGCTCGTTAAAAAGGCCAAAAAGACGGTAATATACTACGGATTTCTATTGCAAAAGTTTTTGTGAATTTTAAGGGGACTAGAAAGGTCTAGTATCTACTTTCGATCGCTTGGGTGTCGACAGCAACGCTTAATTCTTAAAGCTCCAATTTTGCTTTTAAATGAGCTATCATACTTTCACGCTCTCAAAACCAGTTGCAAAAATTGGAGGCTCTGCGTAGCTGTCAAACAAAAAACGTTTTGAAGCGTCGAGTAGCAGTGTAGAGCCAGACAATATCAAGGGTCGATTTTGGCATGTCCTAGCCCCTTTAACCTGCCTTTTCTTTCAGGCAATCTCCCCACTCAAACTCATCAAAACCCCTGTAATCATCGCCACCTGGGTGGCGTGTTGCGGGTATTATTTTGCCGTGGAATTCGCCATCGCATTTTCTATCGTCTACTACTCTCAAGCCCTGCATTTCTCGATTTCGACTGGCGGGATTTTTGCGATGATTGCACTCATCCTATTGGTTGGTCAAAAGTTTTAGCTTTACTGTTATATAATAGCTACTTATTAAAATTATCACCGGTCAACTGTCCGACAAGCTGCACCATATCAGTGAGCTGACCCGGATGCGGATATTCAATTCTGTGGCGCTGTTTGGGTCGGCTGTTTTCTTTATAATCGCTTCTTTCTGGGAGCCGAATGGGAGTTGGATGGATATTGCTGTGATCGGTGAGTAAGGTTGCTGAGGTTTAGCGAGAGAGTGAGAGAGAGCAAGAGAGAGTTAGAGAGCGCGAGAGAGAGCGAAAGAGAGTGAGAGAGAGCAAGCGCGAGAGTTAGAGGGTTGGGAGTTGGATGGATATTGCTATGATAGGTGAGTAAGCTTTCTGAGATGTAGCGAGAGAGAGAGAGAGAGAGAGAGAGAGAGCAAGAGAGAGTTAGAGAGCGCGAGAGAGATAACGAGAGAGAGTGAGTGAGAGAGAGCAAACGAGAGAGCACGAGAACTTCGAAACCCCGTCTTTACAGTACTCCCGGTATGTATCCTCGGTGTCCACAGTGGTGGCTACCCAAAATGTGTGGTCATCGTCGCCAAGCAGCACTCGCCGACCGTTTTCGCTTACATGCAGGTCACGAATATTTTTAGTATTAAAATTATATATTTTTCTAGCTATTGGGATGTGCCATTCTTGTCGCCGGGTCTTTCGTAGTACCCGCCATGACTCCAACTGGCTCCCACCAGGAATGGGCCCAAGTTTTTCGCATTTATGCCGCCGTCCTGGTCGTTTCTAACGTGATATTTTGCTATTGGGCTTCTGGTAGATTTTAAGTGACCTGGAAATGATCTTTCGAACAAACATATCACCATTTTTGTAATTTCAGCTGAACCCTGTGAATGGACCAAGGCCAATCCGGAAACGGCTGATGTCGAAGCGCCGCCACCAAGTCGGGAAACCAGGAGGCCCTCAGATATCGGTTCTGCTAAATAAACATTTGATTATTGATACCTGCATTTTCAAAAATACAAGGTATAATTGTAAAAACGACACGAAAGAGATGACAACACTATATCCATTAATGACGTCCGAAACAAAACGTCGGCAATCGTTCCGAAGAAGACATCAATGTTGATATATTTTTTTTGCGATGCAAGCCATTATCGCCTGATGCCTGCTTTGTAGCTTTCTGGTCTCTTTGCGCTATTTTTTTTTGTTTATTTGAATCGATTCAGGAGAAGCTGCGCGTGTCTAACAAGAGAACCTCTCGCGGACAGGGTGGGATTTCGAAAAACGCTCGCGGCTACCCCTAGGTAATCGACAATTGCGATCACGATGCGCTTGCCAGATTTTTCTGAATGCACCTGTGGACAGAGATACAGCACTTCCGGAAAATGATGATTTGCATGCGAAAAATTAGCATCGAGAGACGGTTTATTAGGCTCTCCCATCACTATGGAATCACCAGTTGAGTGGCCAAGTGGTAAGCGACTCGCTTGATAAGAAACCTACGAGGGTTGGAATCCACTCACGATTTTTTTATTTTGCATTTTTGGCCAGAGATTTTTGCACATTTTTCCGGAAGTGCTGTATCTCTGTCCACAGGTGCATTCAGAAAAATCTGACAAGCGCATCGTGATCGCAATGGTCGATTACCTAGGGGTAGCCGCGAGCGTTTTTCGAAATTCCACCCTGTCCGCGAGGTTTCCGGTGTTGGTCGTTCCTAGGGGTGCCCGAGCGTTTTCGAAATTCCACCCTGTCCGCGAGAGTTTCCCTTGTAAGAATTTTCCATTTTGAAGTTTGTTTTGTTTTTGTCGGTTTACTGTGCCAAGCGGAAAAGGATCGAATTAGGCATTTCCTGAATCACATATCGTTTCTTTCATTGAGAATGTCCGCAAAAACGAATTGATAAATTCACAAAAGCGACAGAAAGCGAGAGCGAGAGAGAGCGAGAGAGCGAGAGAGAGAAACAGAGAGAGAGAGAGGACGATCAGACTCTAATACGCTATACTTCTTGCCATGCCATTTGAAACCCATTTCCGATATTTATGATACTTTTTTAAAGCAGAATTGCTATACATTTCCGTTCAGTTACCAATATCAAAATCCCACAAGGAAAAATCGCCTCTTTTTCCTTGTTTTAAACTTCTTGAAAAGAATCATTTTTGAGAAATTACGATGTTAAATATAAAAGCTATTCTGTTAAAGCTGGCTTTGGAAAAAGTATAATGTTGCTGTCGCGCTCCCTTTAAAGCTCCCCTGACAACTCCGAGACCGAACAACGGCATCGAGCCCTCATATTTCCGAACAAATAATCATCGTCCGCATCGGGGTGTGCTCAGACTCCGCCTCGACCCCAGAGAACACTCAACACACCCGTACACCCGTTTTCTGCTCAATTTACATAGCGATCCGAGTTCTATAAATGCCCATCCCCCACTATTTGATTTCAAAAACCGCTATCAGTTTGCAGATTTGAAAAAATGACGGTTGCTGTGCAGATTCACTGTGAGGCCCAGACGAGCGGGGCAAAATCTTCGCGTCACTACCGGCGCTTTGTTATTCTATTCGTCACCTTCTTTTTCTTGTCGTTTTTGCATGCTGGGTATGAAACGTGTTATTAACGTCGCATGCTTTGCAATTTTATTATTATTTACAATTGTAAAATCAAGAAACATAGGCTGCAGAGATTTTAAGGAGCTTGTCGTGCCAGTCGCTTTAAATTACTGGAATCGTATCGCATCGGAAATTGGCGCAAAAATAAGCGACCAAACGGGACCAAGAAGTCAGCTCCATCGCTCTGTTAGCGCTGATTCATGGCAAATTGCCAGATACGGATTTCGTCCCTGAATCATTTCCTTTTTTCTAAAGTTAGCCTTTTTCCGTAGCAAAATAAATGTCCCGATACTTTTGTTCCGTAATCTTTTAGATATTTTGACAAATAGGTTCAGGTCCCTACAGGATTTTGACTTCCCAGCCCCTTTAAAGAGTGTGAACTGTAGGAAATGTAAAAAAAAAACAAAGATTATCCCGTTTAATTACAGTTTCGTCAGCTACAATTGCGGCATCGTGGCCATGAAGGATTTGTTGACAAGTCCACTCTATGATGAGGACACTTTTCACATCAATCGATCAATTATTATCGTAAGTTTACAACGCCATCAAAAACTTTAGCTTCCAAAGATCGATAAGTTGGCTTACGTTGTTAACTAATTATAACGGAACAAACAATAATATCTCGGATGACCAGAGATTTCCCCTCATTTTCAGTGGAACGCTGACCACCTATCCCTCGAAGATCGCCGCTTCGACTTTTCGGCCGGCGAGATTGGATGGTCCTTCGCTGGTCCGTTTTTTCGGAATTTTTCAAAACTTTTTGGGGGTGTGGGGCCAGAGTTCCGTGGAAAAATTGGGCATGCAAATACTCGGGTTGTGCGGGACGGGGTCAGCAGGACTAGTTTGTGCAGGATCAGGTCGGAAAAGTGACGCTTATTTATGAAAACTCACCAAAGAGAACCAAGCGTTACATTAACAAATTGAACTCCGAAAAATACTTATTTTGCGCTGATAAGTGAGAAGACAAACGTTGAAATCAATCAAGCGCATTAAGCATAGCCAGATACTAAAGCAAAAGTATAAAAGTTAAATTTTATTAGTAATCGACGACTCCAAGGAGTTCATTAAAGAAGGTTAAAGTTAAACGTCAGAGGTTTTAAAAGCTATACCCAAATTTTTAGCTGGTTTCGCCGGGGCGATGTTCGGCGTTCCACTCCTTGGTTGGGTGGCTCCTCGCCTCGGGATCCATCTATTAATGTCTGGAATGGGGCTGATGGTGGCTGTCGCTTGTTTCATCCATCCACTCATCGTATCATGGTCATTTCCGGTGTTCGTCGTACTACGTTTCATAATCGTAAGTCAGCGAATGTTTTGAAGCTCTGAAATTTGACTCTAACGCCAATTTCGTACTATCCGCTCGCAGTCTAACTTTCGCGCGTTTGAGGACCATACAGGTCAAAAAGCTACTTTTTAGGGTACCGTCCTGGCCGTCCTCTTCGCCACCGCTGGAGATGTCATCGCAAAATGGGCTCCTCTAGACGAGCGTGGAATTTGGGTAGCGATATTGACCGGTAGGAATTCCCAATCCTATCCTATAAGCGAGAAAAGTATGTTTGTTTTCTGTACAGCCGATTTCTCGGCCGCCAGGCCGAATTTTGAGCTGATTTTTGGCATGGAGGTGGAGAAACACATTTGTCAGTGACGCATTTTTTTGTTTTTCGAAATTTCTTCATTGAACGGTTTTACAAGCAAAATAGTGAAAAATCCTTAACAGCTTGGCCGAAAAAAGGTTTGTTCAGAGGATATCTCCCGAGCCAAATGGAATTAGGCGCTAATTTTTGGAGGGCAGATTGAAAATTACATTCTCCTGTGATATAATTCTGCGTTTTGGCAGATTTTGTAAACTAAAATTTTTATGAGCATTTTTCCAAAAAGTCCTTAACAAAATGGGCCAAGAGCCGTGGTGTCCGGGGCATAACTCGAAGCTCAGATGGAATTTCGGGCTGTAATTTGGAACACTTATGTATTCGATGGTGGGGATCATGCGCATCTTATTATCTTTACAAATTGTCAGCTGATTCAGACTCGAAAACCGAATTTTGTAAAGTGACCAGTAGGCCTCCCTCTGGGATCATGGGTCGCCATTCTCTTGCCTCCCCCCCTCCCCCCAGGGGAGAAGAGGCCTTTCCCGCTGCCTGTTCCCATCGTCGCGGTGGTGCAGTGCATTTGCGTCGATCTGCCAGGCGCGTAGTAGTGAGTTCGGATCCTGCCCGGATCTAACTCTTCGCTTTTTGGTAGTTCAGCAACAAAGCATATTTCTAGGCTCTCGGTGTGCGGGGGATAGGCCTGGCCCTCGCTCTAGCGCCGCAGGCCAAGGATGTGTCCAGGACCCGGGCTCTTGCGCCGCAGGCCAAAGCCTGGAGAAAAACCAGTAACTAGCGCCGCAGGCTTACAAATTCTTGCGCAACGCTGGCTCTGGCGCCGCAGGCCAAAGAATGGCTCCTTTACTCCGGTTCTTGCGCCGCAGGCCCAATATGGAGAGCAAAGTCAGTAGCTAGCGCCGCAGGCTCAAGGTTTCGAACGTAACCCGCGCTCCGGCGCCTCCGGAGGAATGGCTCCGGGGACTCCGGCACTTGCGCCGCAGGCTTGAAGAAAGGAAAGGGTGAGAATTCGTGGTTCTTAGACGGGGGCCAGTGGAAAATGGCCGCGAAGCGGGCTTTTTCCACTGGTTTTTTCTATATCAAAAAAATTTTGAAGGACATCTCGAGTTCTCCCCACTCTTCGCGATGCCCTTTGGTGGATTAATGGGTGCTGGAGGTACCAGAAATTTGCAAAATCAGATTTCCATTTTTCTAGTCTCCTGGCCGGCCATCTACTATTCCCACGGCGGGCTGGCGTTGATTGTCACGATTTTGTGGATTGTGCTTCATAAGTAAAGCTGTATAACTTATCTTAGACACTGACAAATAACGGATTATGTTAGGAAAAATCAAGGAATAAATTTAGAAATGATCCCCGTAAAGTTAAATGGTTGAAGCAGGGCGAGTTGGATCAGATTTTGGAAGGAAAGGAGGAGATGCTCGTTAAGAAGGCCAAGAGAAGGGTAAGCTTTTTTTGTTCGTGCTTGGAATCCTTTTAACTTAGATTTAGCTTTTTCCGATCTAAATTACATTATCTGGTAAATCATATTGTATTTTCCTATGTAGAAAAAGTCGAGAAAGCTTACAATGCATTTTCAGGCCATCTCCACCCTAAAACTCCTGAAATCTCCAGTAATTCTTGGCACATGGGCCGCTTGTTTCGGTTATTACTTTGCTGTTCAATTCGCCATTACATTCTCGTTGATCTATTATTCTCAAGCTTTGCATTTTCCACTATCAACTTGTGGACTGGTCGTCATGATTCCGTTGCTGTTATTGGTGGGTGAAATTACCTGGCACCTTCACTGTGTCTCTTCCGCTCGCTCTCTCCCTCTTTCTCGCTGTCTCTCTCTCTCTCTCTCTCTCTGTCTCTCTGTTTCTCTCTCTCTGTGTCTCTCTCTGTCTCTCTCTCTCTCTTTCTCACTCGCTCTATCTGTCTCTCTATCTCACGCTATCGCCCTCTCTCACTCTCTCTCTCTCTGCATCTCTTTGTCTCTCTTTCGCTTATACTCTATTTTTAGCTACTTATCAAAGTGGCCACCGGTCAACTTTCCGACACGCTCCACTCAATACGGGAAGTTACCCGGATGAGGATATTCAATTCTATTGCCCTATTCGGCTCGGCGATTTCCTTTATTCTTGCCTCATTTTGGGAGCCGAATGGTAGCTGGCTGGATGTAGCGGTTGTAGGTAAGTTTTGCTTCCTTTAGCTACCGTGGAATCCATGTAATCCATTACGCCATGGAAGACTTCAACATACCTCGGGTTTCGCGTCGCAGCAGGATCTGTAGGGAATCCTTGGTCAATAAACTCCTTAGTGGCGCCTGGCTCATCTCTTTAGAGATTTTTAATCCAATACGCGATTGAACGTTGTGGGCGCGCGTTACGTGCTGCATTGTGGCACGCTTCGTGCAAAATTTGCAGCTAATAAAATTCTAGTCATGGCTTGTACTTTTAATGCCCGCTTACAGTACTCCCCGTCTGTATCCTCGGCTGCCACAGTGGTGGATACCCCAAATGCATGGTCGTGGTCGCAAAACAACATTCCCCGGCCGTTTTCGCCTATATGCAGGTTAAAAACAGCTTCGTTTAATTTAATCAGTTATCTTTTAGTTATTAGGATGTGCTGCCCTTGTTATCGGTTCCTTCCTGGTACCCTCCCTAACTCCCACCGGTTCCCACACCGAATGGGCCCTCGTTTTCCGAATTTACGCTGCCGTGCTGGTTATTTGTAACTTGATCTTTTGCTGGTTGGCTTCGGGTAAGCTTTTAAAGGGACTATAAACCTTGAGCGCTATGGATTTCACTAAAAATATATGGACGTTTAGACGAGCCATGCGCCTGGACAAAAGCTGAGTCAAAACCCGCTGAAATTGCTGCCGAAGAGCCGAGTAGTCAAGCTTCCCAAACCGGGTCTACGGCAGAATAAAATACAAGGCATGGTTAGGTAATAAAGTTATGCATTTTGACAGTTTTTAAATGGCACTTTTTAAGAGTTTTTTTATTCATATTTTGGTGCTTTCGCATTATCGGGGGTGGTGTGGGGATGACACACTTTTTTACCTAAGGATTCTTTTTTCTGATATAAAAAAAACCGGCTCTAAACTGAATTTAACTTTTTCCTAAAGGTAAGCTCTTTTTCAATTTGGCGTAAAAATAACGTAACGTAAAAATTTTCGACCAAAATTCCTAAAATTGCTAAATGTTAATCTAGTGTTTTCGCTTGAAATACTACAAATATTACTAAAAACTTGATTAAGATACTGGCTGTTATGTATTTCTTGATGTTTAGAAAAAATGCAAAAAAACTATGCTGTCTTTTTCTCTCTCTTGTCACTGTCACTCTCTTGTCACTCCCAAAAAGACCACAGGCAAGTCCCAAAAAAGCCATCGTCGTGCCTCGCCAATCCCTTTAAAAGAGTTTTCTATGTCTTTATAGCACTCCATTTATTCAATTCACACACATACACAAACGCAATTCAAGACACCAAAAAAGGCCCGAAAATTCTAGAAAGCCCAAGAGGGGAAATACACCAAAAGGGGGGAATACGAAACGATTACGATAGGAAATACTGGGGAAAGAATGGTGAGGACTCGGGGCATCGAATTCGTCAATTTTCGTTAATCCGTTGGGTGGGTCGTTGTGGCGTTGGTTGGGGAGCAGGAGGCGGCGGCTAATTCTCAGACTTCTCGGGAGCTGCAGCAGCTGGCGGGGCGGCACCATCGGGGGCGGGCTGCGTCTGGAAAAAAATATATAAACAGGGGATAAAATAAATTATGAATAAAATTAGGTGTGAGTTAATGAACATTAAACGGTATTTGCTTAGCAACTAAAGTCAGAAGAACAGAAACAGAAGCAAAAAAACTGGTTCCGTACCTCCGGGCTTTTGGCTCCATCGGTTTCCGGGGCTTTGTCTTGTGGGTTGAGCGTGCCGGGCGACGGGTCCGGCTGATCCCAGTCAACATCCTGAAATCAGAAATATTTGTAGGCGCATTTTATAGCGATAAAATGCAGCCCCAAAATCGACTCCCGTAGTTTACCAAGTGTTGACAAATACGCGGCGCTCCAAACGACGCGTACGACACTGTAGGAGAGTCGTGAAGCAAAATTTTAACTCCTTTCAATTGCGTATTTTGGATTTATGTTAATGTAGCTATCGAGACCCAGTTCCGGGAGGGGGTCGATTTTGGCGTTTCTCAATGATGAATGAGTGTAATGAGTCGGAGTGATTCGTAGTCCGATTCGGTGGCCCCAGAGGAGAAGCCATTCTCTATCGGATTATTGGGTTCGATTGAGTCCCGCCAGGACCAAAAAAGCGCCATCCTGTTTTTTTATTGAATAATGGCTATTCACATTAACATTTCCAATTTTTAAAGGCTATTTTAAAGACGCTAATTTAATGTTTTTCCTTTGGCCCAACTATTTATAGCCATTTTTCTTATCCTTGCCCTCGAAACTAATAAGATTTCTGGCATTCAGCCTAAGCCCCCTTTTCAGGTCATTTATCGCATCACACGCACTTTTTCCCGTGTACTAAGGAAAAATAACCCTCAAAATGTCCTCATTTTAGCACGCTCCAGCAAAATTGTACGACTTCTACTGTTTTTAATAACTCTTGGTTAAACCCCTTAAATCCGTTTAAATCCTCATTACCGCTAATTTCCCGGCGGCCGGCTTCTTCTTGAAGACGCCGACGAGCTTCTGCATGATGGACTTCTTGGGTTGTCGCTCCGTTTTCACCGACTCGTCCGACCGGTCGGACTTCTGGTCCGACTTGGACTTGCTTGTATCCTAGACGAGATTTTGATGAGCCTGATGATGAGTCCGATACCTTTTCATCGTCCGTTTTCGGCTTCTCCTCCTTCGGTTTGTCGTCGGCTTTTGGCTCATCGTTTCCGGGCGATTTCTTCTCGACTTCAACTAAAAAGAAACGTAATTTGGGCTGCATCACATATTTTAAGGTAACCTTTTCCACTCAACTACCCATTACTACACAGTTTTTCGCCACTTCTAGCTGATTTACTCCCTTTAAAAGTAGTTTTCTCGAAAAAAAATTGTATTTTGGGCCCGGGAAATTCCTATTTAGAATTTGTAGCGTGTACAGCAACGTTTAGTACAGCTTCTGAATCCGCTAATTACGCGTAGAAACCCCAAAAAACTGAGGTTGAGAAACAAGAGGAGGGATATCTCCAATTTTTTCAAAAATACCTTTGTGCTTGCCCTCCTTGGACGCCTTCCTCTCCTTCGACGCGCCGCCGCCCGCCTTCTTCTCTTTTGAGCCACCCGCTTTCTTCTCCTTCGATCCGGCCGTCTTCTTCGTGTCCTTGCCCGACTTCTTGTTCTTCTCCTTCGATTGCATCGGGCCTGGAAAATAGATTTATAGAGGGTTCCAGGACATCTCTCTCTCTCTCTCTTTCGCTCTCTCTCTCTCTTTCTCTCTCTCGCTCTCGCTCTCACTCTCTCGCCTCACTTTTAGTTTTCTTCGCCTTGATCTTTGATTTCTTCTCTTTCGTTTTCGTCTCCTTCGACTTCTTCACCTTCGCTGGTTTCTAAATTTGAAAATGAAGTCAAGCCTGCAAAGCCAAGCCTATTCTAAGCCAGGACCAAGCCTAAGCCTAGGCCTGAGCCCAAACCTAACCTAAACCTAAGTCTTATCCGAAGCCCAAGTCTAAGCGAAGCCTTAGATAAGCCTAAGCTAAGCTTAAGCTAAGCCTAAGCTAAGCCTGAGCTAAGCCTAAGCTAAGCCTAAGCTAAGCCTAAACTAAGCTTAAGCTAAGCCTAAGCTAAGCTTGAGCTAAGCCTAAGCTAAGCCTAAGCTAAGCCTAAGCTAAGCCTAAACTAAGCCTAAGCTAAGCCTAAGCTAAGCCTAAACTAAGCCTAAGCTAAGCCTAAGCTAAGCCTAAGCTAACCCGAAGCTAAGCTAAGTCTAAAAGCTACCGTTGGCTTCGACTTGGTCTTCGTCTTCGATTTGCCCTTGCCGCCGGCTTCCACTCGGCAGTCTTCCGAGCAGCTCTAAAACTAACAAGGAGACGTTTTTAGGTGGGCATGGAGTTTCGTAACGAGACCTAGCTCATTCGAAAGAGCTTGAAAAACTGAGCAAGATCCCGTTTTCCATTTCTGCGAAACGATAGCGATTGATTTTTAATAATTAAATTAAAGAATTAGCAGAAATCGGCATGATTCCCCTCGCGCGGAGGGATTTCCTTCCAAATGTCTCCTCTGTCGGAAAGCCAGGCTCCGTCTTCCCTTCCCCATAGCGATTTGGCGCAATCGGTACGGCGTTTGCCTCTCACGAAATTTTTTTGGACTTATTGTCAGTTCGACCCCTGAGCCCAGAATTCGTTTTGCTTTTTAATTCCTGAACACTTTCTAAACGTGGAATCTAGTTCAAAATTAATTTTTTTGTGGTATGCCCCAAACCGGTAACTAGTGTTGGACAGCACCCCAAAGAGAGCACCCCGGGGTGCTTTTTTTCCCACCCCGGGGTGCTTTTATTTTCACCCCGGGGTGCTCTAAAAAAGCACCCCGGAGTGCTTTCAAAACCACCCCGGGGTGCCCCCAAAAAGCACCCCGGGGTGAAAATAAAAGCACCCCGGGGTGGGAAAAAAGCACCCCGGGGTGCTCTCTTTGGGGTGCTGTCCAACACTACCGGTAACGTTGCACTCGCGTCTCAGGGATTGAAATCAACTGGCCCGCTTGCGCATACACCGGTGCTGTTCAGAACATTTATGTTACGCATCTGCGATAATTAATTCAAATAAATAATAAATTCAGCCTCCTAAAATAAAAAGCAAAACGAATTCTGGGCTCAGGGGTCGAACTGACAATAAGTCCAAAAAAATTTCGTGAGAGGCAAACGCCGTACCGATTGCGCCAAATCGCTATGGGGGAGGGAAGACGGGGCCTGGCTTTCCGACAGAGGAGACTTTTGGAAGGAAATCGCTCCGCGCGAGGGGGATCCTGCCAATTCCTGCTAACTCTTTAATTTAATTATTAAAAATCAATCGTGATCGTTTCGCAGAAATGGAAAACGGGATCTTGCTCAGTTTTTCAAGCTCTTTCGAATGAGCTAGGTCTCGTTACGAAACTCCGTGCCCACCTAAAAACGTCTCCTTGTAAGTTCAAAAATCTGGGCCAAAGTACCTTTTCGCCTTCATCCCGTGTCTTCTGCTCGCTGCCCTCCGAGTTGTCGTCATCATCACGCATGGGCGCCGCCTAGAAAATTTGAATATTTGAGCTAATTTGAATACCAACATACCTGCATGAATAACAGCGCCAGAAAGGGGGCCCAGCCGATTTTCATCTGGCGGGGTGGGGAATGATTTCTTGTTTTTCTGGATTAGCAACCGGGCGGGAAATGCTAATTTTTGCGCCGATAATTTATGCAAATTAGTTCCGGTCCTGGAGTCCCAATTCAGCCGTTTTTTTTTTCTTTTTCTTACCCTAAAATTTTATTTGATCGTTCTTTTCTCTGGAAACTTACAAAATTCCCCAAATATCTTTGCTGGCCTGCCCGTTTTCTTCTTTTTTTATGGCTAAAAACGAAGGTTTTTGAATTTTGCATTTATGCCCTTCGAAACCGATTTCTGTGACGGGGGGGTGGATTAGCCGACACGGCAGCAAATTTTGTATTTTTTAGAGTTATCCCGAGATTTTAGAAACGCCATTAGATAGGGCGTGAAAAATTATACCAAGGTGTTCAGGCATTTTCAGCTTCAAACGGGATTAACAACGATTTTCAATTAATGAAGCTTTTCGCGATAACAGAGTATCATAATAATTTTAACAAAAGTGTTTTGGGTGAAATTAAAAATCGTCATATGATTTTCTATTCGCTATCCGATGGCAAGCTTTAATAGATCCGAACAGTCCCCGTCAAGTAAGAGTTCCACCCGCCTTAAGCAACCTGTACCGGTTTTTTCATCTTCCTCAAACCCTAGGCTTTTGAAAGTTGGAAACTAAAAATCGCTGTACGATTCTTAGGTTTTCATTTCAGTTAGCTTCCGGTTGTGCTCTATAGCCATTTAACGAATTTATTACAAAATCGAATTTTCCCTTTATCCCCCAATCCCCAAAAACAGCTCCCAAGACTTTTCCAGCCCAGTCTTACGAAATTAAGCCGGATGTGAGCGCGGTGCCCCGGTGCTGGAGATGAGGATTTGCGGGCGAGCGGTGGATGAAGTCGGGGATTTACCGGCTTCCCCTCGAAAACAAGCCAATTTTTGCTATCGAAATTCTGATCCAAGCAATGTATCGCCAAATGCTTCAAGAGCTCCGCGAAGCTAAGCTATTGGCTTCAGAAAGTGAAGCCAAGCGGATTGAAGCTACCTTTGTTGCGAAGAAGCCTGTTTCTGCTTCAAAGGCTTCAGAAAATGGGGCTGATTCTGATGATGAGGAGCCGAAGGTGAAGCCGTTGAAGCCGTTGCTGCGCATTGATTCTAGGTATGTTGAAAGGGACATTCCGCTCTCGTTTTCAATGTCTTGAAATGTTCAACAGTTTAGCACGCGGTTACGGTAGGTCCTCGACCTCCGGCAAAACCGAACCCGCACGACTCGCCCAGGGCAAGCGCCATAGACCACTCGGCCAGGCCATGGGAGAGACGGGAGAAGGGAGGGGGCGAGTGGATAACATATCTGTGTGCCCGGCCGCCCAATAGGCAATTCTCGCAAATGAATCGTGGTTCAGCACGAGAGCGGAATGTACCTTTAAGGAAGCTAACTTACCAATTTAGAGACCTTTCATTGATCTTATCGGTTTATTTTATTAGGGCGTGAAGGCGTCTCCTTCACTTATTTCTATTTTTCAGGTCCGAGCTGAAGCTCCATCGCTCGAATTCCATCAAATCCGAGCACGATGTAAAACTGACCAGATCTGATTCGAAGGCTTCACGCCCCGAAAACCAAAGCCTCAAGCCAATCCTGAAATCCGACTCGAACTCGAGCATCAAGCAAAAGCCGAAGCAAACCGACTCGAAGCCGTTTCTACGTATCGATTCCACGCCTGAGACTATCGTTCCGAGGTTGCCAATAAGTGAGGAAGACTCGGTGGAGTTTCTTTCTGGGAGTAGCGAAGATAAAACAAGGGCGTCGTGGCGAAATCAGAAGCGCCGTCAGAGTAAACATAGCGTTACGCTACCGACGAATATTGAGATGCAGGTAGGATTATGGTTTTCAAAGGCAATTAAAGCAAATTACACAAAAAAAAATACTTTGGACAAAAATACTTTAAAAATATTCCGGATTTTAGACAAACGACGACATCACAAGACAACAGGCCAAGGAAACGGTACAGGAATTTCTCAACCACATGGCAAATAAAGATGAGCTACCGAATGTTTGTAAGTTTTACCTTTTTATAAAGTTTATAAGTTAATTCTAGTATAAATGTTACTTTGTATACTTTTTAAGCTATATCTATAACGTTTCAGCCGAGAAAACACTCGCGCAGATGCGACGGCTAAGCGCGAAGCAACGACAACTCCTGAAGACGTCGTTTGCCGATCTGGAGGGTGATAGCGTCAAATATGCCTTGAGAATCTTTGTTTTGTAAGTTGGCGCTTTAAAAAATTGTATGCTAATCACGGTTCTAGGCTGTTCTCTGAACACCCAAGCTACAAGAGAATCTGGCCCCAGTTCCGGCAGATTCCCGATTCGTCGTTGATGAACGCCATCGAGTTGCGGAGGCATGCATCGGTGAGAGATGGAGATAGAGAGAGAGAGGGGGTGAGAGACAACAGAGACAAGAGATAGAGAAGAGAGCGAGAGAGAGAGAGAGAGAGAGTGAGTGGAGTGATAGCGAAGATTAGCGAGAAAGAGAGAGCGAGAGATAGAGGGCCAGTGGGAGAGAGGGAGATAGACAGTGAGAGCGAGAGCGAGAGAGAAATAGAGAGAGAGAAAGAGAGAGAGACAGGGAAAGAGATCACAAGAGCGAGAGAGACAGCCAAAGAGAGCGAGCGAGAGGATGCGAGCTAGAACACGACAAAAACATCCAAAAACCCCTTAAAAATTGTCGTCAGGTGTACATCAACGGTCTGAAGGAGATCATCCACGCGATGGACGATGAGGATGAGCTGAGTTTGCATCTAAACCGCATCGCTCGTGCTCATATCAAGTGGAGCGTTCAACGATATCACGTCGCGGTAAGGAATTCTCCTAAATTTATCATTTTTTCGGTATGTACTTTGTACCTCTTCGTAGTTTATGTTCGGGTTGTTTACTAAACAATTTCATAACCCATTTCAGGACATGATCGATCCACTCCTGGACACGATTCGATATTGCACCGGCAAATTAGACCGGGAGACTGCGGAGGCTTGGACGACACTCTATGACGTGATTGCAAACCTGATTGAGATATTTCGAGATCGGAATAAGGCCGATATGGCCAGGGAGGAGCTGCATCGCAACATGAATTATCCACGTCAGCATACTAGCAAATTTTGATGAAAGACCGTATAATAGTGAGTTTCTGGTTGAGACGATTTATGAACTTTCCCCAATTTTTGCCAACATATCGACATTTCAAAATGTTTCTGAGTTTTGTATTCATTTTAAATTCATTCGTATTTCGTTAAATTTGTATTGGTATTTCACGCCCTTAGTAATGGATCAAATTATCTCGGCTAATCTGCCATTTGAATGCATTGCGTTTTCGGCTTTTTCCAACGCTAAAATACAAATACAAAATTGAGGCTTTAAAAACCCTTTCTAATATGTTCTTAAAAAGATATTTATAAACTTATCAGATTTATCTGTTTAATAAAAAATATGCAAAGACACGCACGGGCAAGATTCGCATGTTTTCCTTGCCTGTCATCATCGAGTTTCCGGTTTTGCTGTATAGCCCTTTAATGGATTTATTACTTCCAGTACCCAAAAAACAGCTCCGCAATCTGTTTTTAAACACTTGACGAAAATAGGCCGGATGTGAGGATTGCACCACGGTGCAGAATTACTGCGTGGATTTGGAAGGAGGAGGAGCCATCCGATGAGGTGGAGGATTTACCACCGCGTCACTTCTATAACAAGCCATTTTTACTGTGCTGAACAGAAATTCTGACTGGATTTATGTATCGCCAGATGCTTCAAGAGCTTCGTGAAGCCAAGCTGTTGGCTTCAGAAACTGAAGTCAAGCGTGTTGAAGCCACTTTCATCGCGAAGCAACCAGTCTCTGCTACGGAAGCCCCGGAAAATACGCCTGATTCTGATGATGAGGAGCCAAAAGTAAAGCCGTTGAAGCCGTTGCTACGTATTGATTCTAAGTAGGCTTAACTTGAAATTATTCAGATGCTTAGAAGCTTAGATTTTTGTTTGTATCTCTTAATTAATATCGATAATTAGGGTTCTAAGAACCTTAGCATTACGTCCTATTTTTATCTCCATTTTTCAGGTCCGAGCTGAAGCTCCTACGCTCGAATTCTATAAAATCCGAAAATCACGTTGTAAAACTGAAACGACCGGATTCGACAGCTTCACAATCCAAGAATCCGAGTGCGAAGCCAAAGATCAAGCTCGTGCTCAAGCACACTGATTCAAGGAAGCTTTCGCGTTTGCGAGGTGACGACGATACGATCAAAACTCTCTCGGGAAGCAGCGAAGAAACGAAGAAAGCATCCTGGCAAAATCAAAAGCGCCATCAGAGTAAGCACAGCCTGACGATGCCGAGCGATCTTGAGATGCAGGTACTCATGGCTCTTCAAGTTGCCAACGGATCGCTTCAAAAGTTACTTCCAAAAAGAAATTTTATATGCTAAATTCGTAAAACTCCCCTAAATTGTTTGATTATTTCCTCCACTCAATAACTTTTGACAAAAAAAGCTCCCCAAACACAATCTAAACAAAATAAACATTAGAAAACTATTTGCAAAAACCTAACCCCGATTTTCAGACAGACGTTGTTACCACGGGACAACAAGCCAAGGAAACTGTACATGAACTTCTCAACAACATTACCAATAACGATGAGCTTCCGACTCTTTGTGAGTGTACTTATCAATACTTACTCTACTAAATTTTTATGTAGTCACAGCAAAATCACCATTTTTTGCAGACGAGAAGACGTTCGCCCAGATGCGACGGTTGAGCGAGAAACAGCGGCGAATTCTGAAGGCAACATTTGCCGAGCTGGAGGCTGATGGCGTCAAATACATCTTGAGGGTCTTCGTTTTGTAGGTTTTTACAAGGGCATCTGAAAAATTCATATTTATGTCCAATCTAATCCAATTTAGGCTCTTTTCCGAGCACCCGGGCTACAAGCAAATTTGGCCCCAGTTCCGGCAGATTCCAGATTCCGCGCTGATCAATGCGATCGAGTTGAAAAGACACTGCTCGGTAAGAGAGGGAGAGAGGGAAAGCTATAGAGAGAGAGAGGGAGAGAGAGGGAGAGAGAGTGATAGAGAGAGGCAAGATAGCTTAAAAGCCTCACGAATCATCATCATCAGGTGTACATCAACGGTCTCAAGGAGGTCATCCACGCCATGGACGACGAAGATGAAATGATCTCACATTTGAACCGAATCGCTCGAGCACATATCAAGTGGGGTGTTCAGCGGTCTCATGTGCTGGTGAGAAACCATTTAAATCTAAAAAAGCAGGCAATTAAATTAAGTAAATAAATTTAATGAAATCTACCATCGCCAAAAGCGTCTGACGAACTGAAAGCGTTCTTTAGGCCATGGTCGACCCAATTTTGAGCACGATTCGGTATTGCACGGGCAAACTGGATCGAGAGACTGCGGATGCGTGGACGACACTCTACGATGTGATTGCAAACCTGATTGAGATATTTCGGGCTCGAAATAAGGCAGATATGGCCAGGAGGAGTTGCATCGAAACCTCAATTACCCACGTCAACATACTAGCAAATTTTGATCCAAAATTGTCTACGTTTTATTAAATGGATTTCAAGGTATCGAAAAATACTATTTGTACATCTTTATTGCCGTCAAACAATTTTTTTCAGGCTTTTGACGCTAGAAACTGCGTGAGAACGTAAAAATATCTTTCTGGCGTAAAAATTCGAAGGCCAAAGAATAGTTTTTGGCGTTCAAAAAACTGCTATTTAAAAAATACCTTGAAAACTCTGGAAAATGTTCTAAATTCCTATTTTGATTTCCAAATCCCGGGAACCTAACGTTACTTGACTCCAAACACTACTACACTTGACTCCCCACGTTCTTTTGGTTGTTTTTGAAAATGCTCGACGCCTCGTACACCTCCAAAGTGTGACAGATTGCAATCTATTTCGGTGTCTCATTCCTGTGGAACTGTTCTTTTCCCCGTCCTTCCCCAATTTTCACGAAAATATGTTTATTCGGCCGCCTGCGCCCCGTTGTCTCGATAAATGATCAGAGAACCCGGTGATAAAGATTAGATTTTTGAGCGTATACTGGCAAAAAATAGGCATAGGCGAAAACAGGTAGTAAAAGATGGTTTTTGTATTAACAGCTTGCTTCTCAAACCTACACAGGCCCATGCATCCACCCAAATTCCGTGTGGATTCCACCTGGAATTCGGGTGGAACGCATCGAAATCGGGTGGAAATCGGGTGGACGCAGTGGAAATCGAGTGGAAACACGACGCAACACGGGCCCCACGCGTCGCGGCAAATGGAAATCGAGTGGAAACCGAGTGGATCCACTTGGTTTCCACTCGATTTCCATGCGTTCCACCCGGAATCCAATCGATTTCCATGTGGAATCCACTCGCGTCCGCTAGTGGAATTCCCCTCGATCCCCTCCGGGATTCCGAGTGGATTTCGGGTGGATGCACTGACCTGTGCCACTTGGAACGTCAGCATTCCACGAGCTTCGATTCACAGAAACAGAACCCATTTGTAGTTGACATAATGTGAGGGCAGTTCGACAGCAAGAATTGGTTTTCCCCTCTATTTATACCTTGATTTTGAAAACTTTTTATTGCTGGAACACCTCAAAATTATCTTTCTACGAAATTTCGGGCCTAGCTGATCGGGAGGAAATGCCATCCAAACTCTAAGTAATCGGATAGCTGGTAATAAAGGATAGTTTTTGGACAATACCTTACTTCTGAAAGCACTGCGAAGCTGCTGAAATCTGGAAAATGCAATTTTACACAATTTTAAAACAAGTTTTGGGGCGTAAAAACGGCATCCATCGGCTGGATAACCGAAACGGGTAATCATGGCTAGGATTTCGTATGATATCTGATTCACAAATCCTCTTGAAGCTGTAGGATACTGAAAGACGCAATTTGGCACAGAAACTCAGCTACTCGAAAAAAATTTTTGACGAGTAGATAATATCAGAGAAGTCGGCCATGCAACCGAATTGCTGTTAACAAGGGCTAGTTTCTCAACTCATGCCTTACTTTTCAAAACACTTTGGAGTTCAAGACCACATAAAAATCCATTTTTGCAGCGAGTTCAGCCCATAAAACGGTTTTGCCCTAACCTTGGGATCTAGCTGTCACTCCTCAAATTCCCCCAGTTTTCCCTCAATTTTTTTGCCGAATTTGGCGCGTTCCCGGGTTGCTTATCTCGCGCTGCTCGATTGCTGGGATCGCAACCGGGGCAAAAAGACCTCGTGGAAATTGCGAACTGGAATCGGCTGTCGTCTCCGTCTCTCGAATTCCTTGGTCTCTCTTTCTCATGTCTCTGATGCCTCTCATCGGGGCACTCTCTCGTCGGCCATCCCCCCCACGTGCTTCCTTCCACCCTTCCAGCCAGCCAGTCTTTGGGCCATTTCGTGTCAACAACCCCTGGTTCGCATGAAATCCGCACTTTTCGGGGGTTTTGTCATTTTCTCTAGAACTTGGGAGTGCATTACAGCGTATTTCTAGGGCTAGACATTCAAAAGATGAGAAATTACACTTTAAACGCTTTTGAACATTTTTCGGACTAAAATAGTAATATATCTATTTAATTTTGTCAAATCAGCGTTTTTTCTGGGGTTTAGTTATTTTCGATCGAGCCTCTAGCAGTATACTACAGCGTATTTCTAGGACTAGACACTGTAAAACAACGAGAAAACGGTACTTTACAACTTTTTTTAAGCTGAAATCGTTTGTATCAATTTATCTTTGCTTAATTTTAGCGTCCTGAGGTAGAAATTTAATGTTTTTTAATATTAGAAGCGAAAACGGCTGTTGTCTACGGGCAAAAAGCATCAAGATTCGTATCAAGATCGTAATGTGTAGAGAAACGCGTATTTTTAGTTCTAAGCTTTGTTATCTCTTGCAACCTGGTAAAATTCTTTTTCTAAATTTAAAATTAAATGCGTTCTATTGAAGTCCATGACCTTCTAAACTCTTCAATACGCCTTCCAACTTCGTTACCATCGCTTTCTATTGAAAAGGATCTAATCAGAAAATTTGCAGATCACCTCACTCTACACCTCAATTTCCCCTACCTCCACTTCAGCGGCCTTTGTACATAATGGTAAGCCATATCCTATTTTTGGATTCTCACTTTTTTTTAGAAAATAGAACACGTTCCCCTGGACGCCTGGGAGGGCGTCGCCCGCCATTTGGACGCCTACTCGCTGACGAATTTGGCCCAAACCTCGCACCACTTCGAGAACCTGTTCCGGAAATCACGTGTACTGCAGAGGGCTCCGCGCAGCGTTCTTCACCTCACTTTCCGTAGCCAGGTAAGGTTACGCTTTTGAAAAAATACTCGCAAAGCCCTAAACTGCGATTTCAACGCTTTATTTGAATTTTTGAGCTTCTCCCAGGCATTGAAGTCGGCAAAAAAAACATTTCCGGACTTTTCCCCCAAAAAGCAAAAGAATTCCAACCAACCGGATTTGAACCAGTGACCTAAGGATAGCTGCCGACTCTACAGTCCTCCGCTCTACCAACTGAGCTATGGTTGGGTCGGGGATAGGGCGCGGCGGAAGGGGCTATCTGCCCATTGACTGACACCCCGCCCGGTGGCAGCAGGCAATCAAAAAGCGGTTCAAGGCATGCTAATACCCCCACTTTTTCAGCACATTTCCGTGTGCCTCGACGGCTATTGCTACTGCTTCTGCGAGCCGGGCTCGCTGCGTCGATTTGCGAACCCGGACTTCACCTATTGGTGCGTTTTTGAACTTTAAATTGTTGTTATGAAAAATAGTAGTAATAAATTAACGTTTCTTGGTCAAAACTAGCTGTTTTTAAACGTTTTCTATGCAAAAATTCTGCATTTTTTTGCTTCAAAGTGCTTCAAACCCGTGTTAAAGTCTTGTTGCAGTTTCTTTGATCTTTACCCCAATCTCGCTGCAAATTTTCTTGCTTACTAGGCAAATATTTGGGGACACGACGCAGATAAGGACTGTTTTTATGAGTCGAAAATTTTTCTGTTTTTGCCAGATTGCAACTAAACCGTTTTTCCAAGAGTCAAAAGCCGAGAAAATGCATGAAAAGTTTAAAAAGGAATTTTTAGTTGCTGCCTGCACAAATGGTCGTTCCGGCGCTTCGTGTGCCCTTCGGAAGACTTTGTATATGCGGCGACGAGGGCCATATCGAAGATTTTGCGCTCAAAATACTTCCGCGTCGATGTTGTACATGTCGGTTTTCATAGTTTTTCGAATAATGTCTTTTTTTTTAGTTTCTCGAGCATCCGTGGTACATGTCGATGGAGCTGGATGACAGCCTTTTCTACCAGGAAACACCGGTAAGCGATTTTTACGCATTTTGGATACTTTCACGACTTTGAAATCGACAAAGTTCGCTATAGTATCGAAATTCAGTGAGTAAACTTATTAAAACGTTAAAAGGCATTTTCATGCAGTTTTTGAAGGCTTTAACCTAATTTTAAAAGGATTTTTCATATTTCCGCTCGCTAGGAAAATAGCACTTTTCCGAAAAAGTCCTGCCTTTTCTAATCTCTTTTCTCAGGTAACCTCCGTGCAAAAAGCGCTACAAGAACTCGGCCAAAATCTGGAGTATCCTGCTCGGGTCGTGCTGCCCTACGGCTACCGCGAGCACATCGGCCACTGCGGCGGCAATTTCAACTCCCGCTTCCGCATCTTCCACCGTCGGCTTTTGGAGGTATTTTTCAATTTTTCATTGAGTTAATCTCTTCTAGGGCTTCGACTTTGACGACGCCGGCAAGCTGATCAACCAGCTGCTCGACAAAGGGCACGAATCGGATGCGATGGCCGCCGAGGTGCTCGACCAGCTTGAGCCGTGGCAAGTCGAGCGGTACAGGGAGCTCGAGGCGAGGTTGAGCCTGCCAGAGGTATGGCAATATTGTTTGTAGCGTCTTTTAAAGGCAATCCGAAGCCCAAAATCGAGTTTTCTTGGACTAGGTAAGAACAGCTAAGCGACGATCCAAAAATCGGGCTAGAAAATATTTTTCATGTGACATGAGGCTTATCGCGTAGTTTTCGGCACCTAGTTGATCCAGCGAACGTGTCGACTCGGTACAGGCAAAAAAGCCAAAAACCGGCACTACAGAACTTTTTGAACGTGTCATTTGGCGTATCGCGTAGCGTTCGAAACCTAGGAATACGCGGCCGTTTTTTACGCATTTTTTGCCTTTTAAAATACGGGTTAGCTTTTTAAAACCCCATTAAACTAGCCTTTTCCAGGGCCTCTTCGCCGCGATCACCCCCTCCGAAGCGCACAACACGGTCCAGGATTTCTCGCGTGACCTCGTTGGTGGTTTGCGGGCTGATTGGTCTGAATAAAGCCCGTTTTGCTCGTTTCATCGTCCAGCCGGCCACGCAACCGAACCCACTTTTTGGTGCACGAATCGAAAATGCACAAAGATGTGGGGGCGTGGCCTGGGAAGGCGGAGGACCGAGCGGCGGCAGTGGAGAATCAGAGACACAGCTAGTGTTTTTACTGATTTTCGGCTGTTAGAGGCGTTTTTTGGGGACCAATCAGTCTGAAAAAAGTTTTAACTATTTTTCCGTTTTTTTTGGGGTACAGAGAAAAACAGTGGGAATTAATTACGGGTATAAGGAAAGAGAGAGAGAGAGAGAGAGAGAGAGAGAGAGAGCAGAGATAACGTGAGACTCGCGCTCCAGCTCCGGAAGTACGAACGCTCGTGCCATCCGCAAGTTTTCCACCCAATGGCGTATACAAATTCAGGTCCCCATCCGGGATTTGTATACGAGCGGAAGCGGATGCGGAGAAGCCACGGTTTCTCATCGACCTGCAAGCGATCTTCCGCCCTACGTTGCGCGTCTAGCTACACCTTGACATACATTTAATATTTTTCAAAAACCTAGTGTAATCAGTTTAATCGTTCTTTTTAGGCTCAACGCGCTTCCGCTTCTCGCCACGATATCGGAGAGCGGCTGTTTCCGTGCTTTGCCCTCGACTACCATCAGCGAAATTCTGAAGCGTCATCGTCGTCTCAAGAATAAACCAAAGCCATCGTCTTCTTGTGAATAGACGTTTAGCTTTTTGTCATTAGATTTTACGTTTGGTAATTTCTAGAATATTTCGTTGTTAGTTTTGTCTAAAAATTTTTCCCCATTGCTTTGCTTTGTACATAATCCACATCTAGTCCCTTGCTCTATTACGTGTTCAAATTTCAGAAAAGCTTATGGTTTTCTACCGGTGACATTGTTGTTTTGACGAATTTTTCTTTTGGAAGGATACTCGAAGATAAATAGTTGTTTCTGGATTCTAAGAAGTTCTGAAAAGAGCACAAGAAGTTGTTGAAGCCAGTCCTACATTATTCGGATCGAAATACTTATCTTCGAAAGCTTATTATATATTTTGCTTATCTTGCCTTCGTAGCTTACTTTTCCTCTTACCTATCGATTGCTCTGACACCGTATTGGCACAAAAGCGGTCGCGGCCCGGCGGAAAAGCGTATTTTTAATCATTTTCGCTTGTTTTAGACTCGAAAGCTCTTCTTTTGTTTACAAAAACCATCTCAATAGTAGTTTTATTGCGCTTTTTCAGGTATGAGCCTACTTCGTCTCGGGTCATCCGCCTTCCGGGCCATCCATCCGCGGTTCGTTTTCATTAATTCACAAGTATAAACTCTCGATGAACCGGTTATAATGCTTCTTTTAGTTTCCTCTCCCAAGGCGCTTTCGAGAAGGCCCAGGCGGATTTGAAGAAGCTGAAGGAAGAGCCGGACAACGAGACGAAGCTCAAGATCTATGCGCTGTACAAGCAGGTTTGAGGCTTTTATAGTTTTTCTTTATAAAACAAATTTAGGCAAGCGAGGGTGACGTTGCCGGCTCACGGCCCGGGATGATGGACTTTGTGAAGCGGGCAAAGTACGATGCGTGGAGCCAGTTGAAAGGCACTACCAAGGTAATATCCTTGTTATATTTATAGTTTTACGTCTTGTTTAGGACGATGCCTCTTCAAAGTACGTCGGACTGATCAAGCAGCTGCTGGCCGAGGATGCAACGGAAGTGGCGGATAGCGGACCCGGGATTGCGGAGCTGCCAAAGATTCAAGGGCTAGATGTATGGCTTTCTAAGATTTTCCAACGCTAGTTTTAGTACGCAATCGAAGGAAAAGTCTTCAAAATGACGCTGAACCGCCCGAAGAAATTCAACGCGCTCACGCTGGACATGTATCGCGGAATCCAGGTTTGTTCTTTTGGCTTGCTTTTTGAAGTTTTTATGATTTAGGAAGGTCTAAAATACGCTCAAGGAAACCCCAGCGTAACGATCGCTGTTTTGACTGGTAGGAGATTACTCACTTTTTATTACGTCATTCTAGGTACTGGCAACTACTTCTGCTCGGGCAACGATCTCAGCAACTTTGCCGCCGCGGCGACGAAAGATGCGGCCGGCGTCAAGGAGATGGCCGAAGAGGCAAAAGTTGTTCTGAGGGACTACGTTAAGGTATCTGATCTATTCGCTATCGCTTATTAATCGTTTCCTTTTAGGCTTACATCGATTTCGACAAGCCGCTCGTCGCCCTGATCAACGGCCCGGCCATCGGCATTTCCGTGACCGTGTTGGCGCTGTTTGACGCGGTTTACGCCACGAATAAGGTATATCGCTTCGTTTTTAGGTATCTTACGTATTGTCATTTAGGCGACGTTCCAAACGCCCTTCGCTCAAGTCGGCCAGAGCCCGGAGGGCGCCTCCGCCTACACGTTCCCATTGTTGATGGGCCCGACGCGTGCTGCTGAGGTTTAAACGCTTTTTGAAACTTAGTATGGCTATTTAGTTTCTCCTCTTCGGGCGCAAACTCTCGGCTCTCGAGGCGAAGGAGTTCGGCCTGGTCAATGAGGTGTTCGAGGAGGCTACCTTCATTCAGGTATATAACTTTATGGAATCTAATTTTTGCTGGAATTCCGTAGATGCCTATTGCAATATAGCACGTCTTTTAAGAGGCTATTCACGAAAATTCAGCATTTTTTCGTGAAAAAAAATTACCTATAGCACTTATAAAAACGCTTGACATTTTCAAAGTTTGGTCGAAAATCGTTACTTTTGTAGCTTTAACAGGCATTTACTAACCTTTACGTTTTTTAATCGTAAAATAGAGTTTACTTATACTTTGGTTTATATTAGAAAACTCGCTCCCGAAAGAAAAAGTTTGTTTCCCTCTGGGAAACAAACGCTCAAGAATCCTGCTTTTTTAAGATCTTACTTTTTCAGCAAACCTCCTCTCTGCTCGCCAAGTATTCATCGCTGCCCCCGGAGAGTATGCGCGAGAGCAAGAAGCTGCTCCGCAAGATCCACAAGGACAATTTGTACAAGGTCAACGAGGTAAATTTCCTGAGATTGATTTGATTTTACAAACTTTTTTTAGGAGGAGTGTGACCTGATCTGCGACCGCTGGCAGAGCGCCGAGTGCAAGAATGCCATCGCCAACTTCCTGAGCAAGTCGAAGAAGTAACTGTGTATATTAACTAGGTGTTTGCTTATTTTTGTAGACCTTGAATTTCTGTGTACTTAATGATGAAGAACCTATCGTCGCCTTTTGCCATGTGTTTACTCGGGTCCGGTATGTAATAATAAACTTTTCTAGTTAGTTGGAGCTTCATACATTAATAGAGCTTATATATTTCGAACAGTTGTTTGAATGGATAGGCTTACGATGTGAAGCGCAAACGGTTGTGTAACGCTACGCGCCTAACGACAACGACAGATTTATTATTGATTTTTGGAGAAAACAAAAAGATATTTGGCTTATTGCTGGTCTTCCGGCCCCGCGGAATCGTCGGGGAAATCGACGTGATTCGGGTGCTTCTTCCCGCCGTGATCCCGGATGGCGGCCGTTTCGGTGCTTTCGCCGTGTGTTTCGTCCGAGTCATCCTGTAACGTTATCGTCGTACTTTTAAAAAGTTACTTCTTGATCCTTAGGCTTCTCCTTCACTTCTTTATCGGGTTTCGGCTCTTCTTTTTCAGGTTTTGGCGGGGGAACGTGGTTTCCGGGCTGGTGCAGCTGCAAAATTGACCTTTTCGCTAGTTTGTAGTGAGTTTCGAACTCGAACGACTTTGTTCTTATTTCAAGGAGACCTCTCTATAGCAAACCTACGTCAATCGGCAGCCATGGTTGAGCAGATTTTTCCTGAAAATGGGTTTTTCTAGTTTCGTAAGTAAATCCAGGCCTTACCTCAGAATCTTGACGTCCAGCGTTACGCACCACACCGGCCACCTAGAAAGCTATTTTTCAACGTCACGAATTCGTCTGTTTTGCGTTCATTTTATAACATCCGGTCTATTTATTCAAGCATCATCGACCTTATGCCTTCTTGGCTGGAAGTCGTCATTTCGGTCAAAGTCCTCGAAGCGATGCGCCGGGAATCGGTGATGGTGATGGCGATGGGGTCCGGGCTAAAAACGTAGTTTTTACATTACAAATCGGTCACTAAAAGAAAGAGAAAATATAGTATTCTAGGGCCCACAATCCCGCTTCGGCTGCATATCCGGGTCTTGTGTGTCAAGCTCCACCTCAGGGGCTTCAGTCACGGCGTCAAGCTGGATTTCCTGGAACGGCTCGGGTATTTTTGAAAACATATTTATTTTTTAGCGTTTTATTTCCTACCTGACCGTCATTTCCGGAATTTGGGGCTGGAATTCGGCTCGGGAGGATTTCGGCCGAGATGTCTTTGTTGTCATTCTTGTTCTTGTCCTCGTCAGATTCATTGGTCTGCTTGGGAATTTCGATCTTATTCCCCTCAGTCTGGCTATTGCTTTTCTAAAGTTCGCTGATTATGATTTATTTTAGAATAGAATAGAGAACCTTTTAGGACATTTTTAAAATCGGTTTTTGTATTTCCGAAGTTGGAAACTACCTTCTCTATCATTTCCAAAGCTCGGCGCCGGGATTCGACTGGGTAAAATCTCGACTGAGATGTCGAGGTTGTCATTCTTTGCTTGTTGTCGGTATTCTTGCTCGTCTTCGGGATTTCCACATCCTTAGAGCCTTCTGAAGATTAAATTCAATTTACGCGACAGACTCCTTTCAAACCTTTGGCACTTCCGTCGTGGCAGCTAAGACATCATCGTCTTCCTAAACTCGATAATTCTGGAGTTTAATTTTCGCAAAATACCGTAGAACCCTGGGCGTTGTCTCCTTGTTGATTCTTCTGATCTTGCAGGCCCGGGTTCTAAATATCAGAGTGGGAAAAGTTGAGCATAAGAACGAAACCTGCGAATCGGGGCGAATGATCATCGGGACGAAGCCGTTCGGCGTTTGGACCATCACGATCAGAGCTTCCTGGAAAATATCGACTTCGAATTTTTTTATTAAATCTGTTTAAAGTTATGAAACGTAGCGGAACAGTCATGGTACTTACCTTTGGGAACGGCGAGTTCTGAAGCAGAACAGTCTCGCCATGGTGGTTACGCGTGATCGTGAAGTCTTGGGAGTGGCTCTAAAATGTATGGTATTTTGCTGCACCTCTATTTCTTAATGTTCTTGCAAATTCCTCAATAATCCCTGCTATCTTGCCGTTTTCCCCTATTTTTGAACCCACCAAGACTGAGGGCCGGCTGTTCTGCTGGAACCCGGAGTTGCCGGAGTTTTGAGGCGGGCTGCTTTTCTGTGGCCTCTCTCAGGGGACAAATTGGGGTTGTTGGTCTTCAGAATCTTCCCTCGTCGTCAGCTTGTTTCGGGATGAAGACGGGTTGCTTATTCTTTGGCTTGGAGCGATCGGAGTTTTTGGTCGGGGAGAATCGGGGTCGGGATGAGAGCGAGGCGGCCGATGGCATGCTGCTGCTCGGCGAGGATCGTCATCGGGGTCTGGAAATAGGAAAGTCACGTAGTTATGGCGCAAAAATGTCACAGATATTTGTAGTCTTAATTCTTTTAATTGTGGCCCCTCTTTTTTCGAAAATCTGGCAGCTACCGCGGTTCAATTTCTAACGGCCCAAAACGTCGAACAGTCGAAAAACGAAATATCGACAAATAAGAAACGTCGTGAAAATAATGATTATGCCAGGTATCAAGGTTACTGTAACGGTTTAAAATTTTAATAGTAAAAATTTTACTAGCTAGCAGAAAATTTAAGATATCGCCGACCCACATCAGACTTGGCGATGCTCTGCTCGATGGCCTTCTCGACGAGCGCCACTTCTTCGGCTACAAATGTTTCGAATTTTGTTGTCTGTCATCGTCCATATCATCGTAATCATCCTCATCGTCGTCGTCGTCTTCAGAAAACCCGAGGAATGGGAACAGCTCTTGGCGGAATTGATGGATGGCGTCCTGGTGGGCCTCGGATTCTCTAAAATATTCTCAAAAATAGTTAAAAAGATATATTTCATTTCCATTTTAATGATGTTTTTATTCTTTTTCTAGGTGGAGGTTTTTGCGGTTTTTTCTGGATCCGAATTATCAATCCATTAATGCTTCAAGCCTTGTGAGCTCGCAACGAAATATTTATGACCGAAGTCAGCTTATACTCTTTACCTTTGAAGCTCAAGCTCGAAAGCCCACCGTCTCCCTCAGTGATCGTGATCTTCTTCGGGACCAGGCGCTGCTCATTTTTCTCATTTTGACGCCTCCCGAGGAAGGGTCGTCGCATCGAGCTCAGGCATCAAGTCTCATCGATTGTGGATGAAGCGGCCGTAGTCGCCTCAAAGATGTCGATTTCTTCCCTCGTTGACTTGGATCTTCTCATCGACCATCTCCGAACTTCTCGATTCTTCACGATCTTTGGCTTGGGCTTGTCGCTGAGCGTGGTGTTTAGGTCCCAAAAGCAGTGATTTTGGGATTTTAGACACTTTAAAATGGCTCTAGTTGTTAATGATCATTAGTAAATAATGATAGTTAAAACTTGCAAAATTCGGTAATTAAAGTGTTATTTCATACTTCATCCCTCGGCAACAGCGGATTCGCCAACAACGGATCCTTCACATCCCGCTCGTCCTTAGCGGCTAGCTAAAAATTTGTATTATGAAGCTATTTATAAAGCATAATTCTACCGTTTATAAATCCAGCTAAAGCCTACCGTAACGCCTAGAAAAAGCGCAAAAACCAGCAGGACTATCCGCATTGCGATGCCGGCTTTGAGAAATGATGGTAGAAGAAGATCCGGGGCGCTCGCCGGTTTCGGCATAATATTATGGCTAGAGGCGGGTGACGGATGTTTCGTTGTCTGTGATGGTGTGTGCTAGATTTTTTGGAGCTTCGGAAACTTGAAAAAGGGAAGAGGATTTGTAAAATCAGCTTTTTTCTCCATTTTAGATTATGGAGCCCCTTAAAATGCAACGAACCCTTAGAAACCATTTTGGTGCTAATGCACTTGGGGGGGCAGTCCCGATTTTGACTACAAGACGCTCCAAATGCCGTTTTTAAACTCGAAGCCTCTGGAAAAGCTAAGCCAAGCCTAAGCCTAGGCTTAGCTTCATACAAACGAAGCTTAAGCTTAGCTTCGGCCAAGCTAAGCTTAGCTCTAAGCTTAGTCCCAATGACCCATTTTGACCACCTAAGGCAATTTAAAGCTCAGGTTAGCTTAGCTTGGGCTTAGCTTAAGCCTAAGCCTGTTGCTTAGTTAAAGCTAGTTAAGCCTAGGCTTAAGCAGAAAACCAAGTAGCTTAGCGGAGCGTCTCGTAACCCCTTACTACCAATTTCGGACTGCCCCCCCCTAACTGCATTAGCACCACCATTTTATAGCAGCTTAATAGAGGCTTTAAATTCAACTTAAAAAATTTAAACCTTTTATATTCAGTTTTCAAAGCAAATTCGACGGAAAATATCCAGAAGCCCACAACGTTCCGCGGGGTCTATTTGATTCCAGGCCAATTGTACGCAAGCGCTGCGTGTCCGGTTCCACGGGCACATAACCCCTTCCAGTCCCCTCCTCGACCCAACCATAGCTCAGTTGGTAGAGCGGAGGACTGTAGAGTTGGCAGCTATCCTTAGGTCACTGGTTCTGAATCCGGTTGGTTGGAATTCTTTGCTTTTGGGGCAGAAAGTACTAGAAAAATCGTTTGAACGTTTCAGCCAAGGGTCAAGCTCAAAAATTGGAAAAGCTGGGCTTAGGGCTTGACAAGCTTGATTTCGAAACACAAGCTTCATGAAGCCTAGGTCACGAGCAGCCGGGAACCAAATTTTGACGTGGAAACGCTGGCCCAAAAATCTGGTGTATTTTTTTGGTCTTGGTCTTGCAGCCATTTTTTTGCTGTGCTTTACAATCGGCACGCGATTAAAATGTAAACTTTATTCACAGAAACTTTCCAAAGGAAGAAGAATTCGAAAAGCACAGGCACTGGGCGGTGTAAAGAAATTTCAAGGTTTTCGCTTGCGCAAGCTGCGTAGCGACCAGGCGGGTAAAGCACAAAGTACAGAAAACACTCTCAACCAACGAAAGCTACCAAATCGTAGGGAAACCAGAAGCGTAGTATTTTTTACAAACACTTAGAAATCTCCAGAAGGCCGTGAAAGAGTATAGTTTTAGTTATTGGTGGCAAGGCGGGAATGTGACGCTAGAAATTTGAACAATACAGCTTCAAAAAAAACTAAAAATTTGGAGGCTAAAATCGTTTTGGTTCGATGAAGTGAAAGGCTTGATTTTTGGGGAATTATTTGCACATATTAGGTAATTTTTGATATCACAGGGCGCGTCAATTAAATAGAAAAGTCCAAAACTAAAAATCGGAAAATAGGAAGCGTAGTAAGTAGAGCAATCAGCGGAACCAAGGAAAAGGAGCTAAAAGCGCAAGAGGGTTAGAAAACGCTTGCAAAATCATCTTCTGGTTGAATTTGGCGCGAATGTCGCGAACGGAGATGGGTTGCGACTCGCTGGTGTCTGTTTCGCTGGCCGTTGGCCGGCTTGGGAAGCTTTGGCTTCGGGGCGCTAATCGTCGATTGGAGGGCTTGTCGAATTTGGGCTAAAAACGGGATAAAAAGTGTAAGCATTACGAGTACGTAAGGGTCCAATCAGAACCGGAAAATTTTCCACTTCCAGACAAGATTACCATTTATAGTTATAGAAATTATTTAGATTCACACCACAAAACCCTTACAGTCGACTAAAATTATGATAGGCTATGTTTTTAAATTTTTAAAGATTGAACTTCACGATTTTTATCATCAAAAACAAGCAGCAAACCTAATAGTAAGAACCGGAAGTAATATTTTACCTTATCAGCGACACAGGTGGCGGCGGTGGCGGAATCGTCGGCGGTCTGTTCATCGACTCGGAACGCTGAATCTTCGACGTCGCGGCGACTGGCGAGGCTTTTGGGATAGGAGGTGGTGGTTTTTCGGCCGGGGAATCGGGTGGCACGACGTAGTGATGCTCTATCGGTTCCGTCCTGAAAAAATAGGCAATAACGGTATAAAGGATCTTTAATCCTATCAATATTCTCAAAAAACGCTGCTGAAATTTTACAAGCCACGAAAATCCCGAGAACGAATCGATTTCCTAAAACGCACCGTATCCCCATCTCGGCTCCGTGCTCCTCGTAGAGTGCTTGTAGCGCGGAATCCCTCGGTTCAGATGGAACCCCTGGTGGTGGTTGCGTGGGCCGATTCAGCGAATTCGAGCGGGACACGGTGATCGTAGGGGCGTTCGGTTGGAAGACGGCCTGAAACTGGAGATAGAAGACATTGAAAAACGCCGTTTTCCATAACTAAAAATCAAAAATAGCATTTAAAATTTGGTCTAACTTTCCGTAAGGAATTATAAAAACGTAAGCTACACAAATACCATACCCGTAGCCGGGAAGCTGCTACCAGCGCCTTGGTAGTCGGGTACTGGATTCTTGATGGGGAGCGTGATAGGTGTGGCGATGGATTGTGGACGATGGGCACAGAGTTTTCGGCGGTTCGGTAGGTGACCATGTGATGGTCACCCCAGCCCATGTTCACAGGAGAAGCGCTGAAAATAACAGACGATTAAAAATACGGCTGGTACCCAGATCAAAATTACACGCCTGAAATTTTACCACTTACACGTAAACTTTTTACACACGCGTAAAAAAGTCTATAAACTCGATCTAGACAAAAACAACTTGACATAAAACTTTTCTAAAATTATTTTGAAGAATCCAAAGCTTTCTATCGGAATAATCGATCGTAAAACGCCTTTTATATTGTGTCCATTTTTCCTTTAGTTCTAGCATTGGAAACCGCCCATACAACAGCAATAATTTAAAAACATCCAGAAAATTCCATATGTCACGGAAAAAAGCTAATTCGTCTTTTTAATCCGGATACAACAAATACCAACTTTTCTAAGATTCTCTACCTTCATCCGCTGATGGCCACCACTACCGGGCGGAGGTGGCGCCTTTCGGACCGGCACCAAAACGCCGCGCAGGTTGAACGTATCCCGAGTCCATTTCGAGCATCTAAAAC